GTTCCTTCACTGCACTGCTAATCTCCGCTAATACTCTCCCATGCTTCATTTAATTTCACTCTCAGGGCTCTTTTTCAAATTCTTCCTCAAATCTTAAACCAATGCCCTCATTGTTTAGGATTCCTTTACCCTGACAAGTCTGACCTCAGATATCCTTTCCTCTTTCCTGCTCTGTAACTCAGGCAGTCCACTTACTCATTCATATGGTAACCTCACATAATGGTCTCCACATTAATTAAGTAATTTTGGTTCTTTAAGGTACTACAGAGGGGTTTTCAGTGCCTTTCAGGCCAATTGAATTATTTTTTTTTTTGTTGAACAGACTGGAGAGTACATGGTAGAAGAGCCAAGGAGAACATGCTCGCTCTCCCTCTGGGCCATTCCTTTCATGCTGCTTCGGGGTTAGGCCAAAACAACATCAGCAAGTCTAATTTGCCCCAGCAGCGGATGGGAAATGACTAAAAACCCTGCAGATTAATTTGTGTCAGATGTATGCTTTAAAGCAAGTGAGAGCAAGAGAGAATGTGAGAGCATTTACAGAAAAACATGCTCTTTCTCTGGGATTTAGAAGGGCCCTCTTGTTTCAGGTCTCTTGGGAACTGAGTGGCCCCAAGCAAATGAAAAGTCCTACCTTTGCTTTATGTTCTCCTTTTGTATGTGACGCTTTTCAGTAATCAGAAAATTCAGAAAAAAAATAAAGGGATAAAAAGAAGCAAAACTGTACAATGCATAATTGGCTTTGCAGTATCTGCTGAGTCTTCTAGCAAAGATAGTTTTGCACCATACAGGTAAGATGGTCAGAAAAAAAAGGGGCCTGGGGATTTTTTTGTTGGGTGAGGGTTGTGTCCCACATCACTCCAGGAAAAGTGAAACGTGGAAACCTCATGTCACTCTGGAAAATAGTAATGATTAGTGTTACCTAATCAATAACCTAATATGACTGAAACTGCAGATCAATACATGATCCTGACTAGGAAGCACAGGTCCAAAGCAGTCTTTCAATTGAAACAGTAGACCTCAAGTTGCTCTCTGACGGCCAGATGTGGTCACCCCACTGTGATATTCTAATAGGACAAATCCTGGAATGGTCATGAAAATCCAGCAACTGTAATAGTTAGTTTGGTGCCACTTGGTGTGACTTAGTTGGGAATAAATTTTTCTGTACATGACTAACACATGAGCTGAAAAACAGCATAACTGGTACTGGTTAGGCTTTTTACTGGTTAGGCTTCTTACTGGAATTCCCAGCAAGGCCAAGAACAGTCATCTCTGTGTCCAATCTCTCTGCTTAATGGTGTTTGCGACACTGGAGATGAGTCATGCGTGTGCTCTCACTGTGCAGTAACATTTCTCTTCCTAAATTAAATAGATTTAAATTTGTACATTCTTGGAACTCATATCCAATCTGATCTGCTCACCACATCTAAAAGGATTTGTTTACTTTTTAGGCAGCCTTGCTGTTTAGATCTCGGATGACTGCCTCAAAAATTCTAGAGAAACTCAAGTCTCAAAGTGCAACATTAGTATGGACTTACTTCTGGTGAGCGACACGTCTGCTTCAAAAGTCTCAAACCTTACTCTTCATTCACACTGTTCCTAATGCTTGTCTTATTATTATGAGACAGAAATAATAACACCCAAAGTCCTACCCGAAGTCTGAATCCCAATCTGATCTGGCAGCATAAATATAACCACAGAAAAATCTTCCAAGAGAGCCAAAGAGACAAAAAGCCCCAATCTAAAAAGAAAGCAAAGTTTTGTGGAATTAGACCTTAAATCTCAGTTTCAAAACAGACTAGCACTTAGAAGCCTGTCACAACTTTCAACAAGACGTCAGATATAGTTATACAACATTTAATATTGATGTCGTTATACTGGTACTCTTAGCAGTATCACCTATTTCGATCTAGAAAGGAAATAGCAGTACAGGGAAGAAACAACATAGGATGTCTTTATATCTGTAAATGTTGTTGTAGTGGGATGTTTTTCAATAAAAACACATACCAGTAACCTAAATGGTTGTACTAGTGCCAGATCTTCTATATGAGACCAAGAGTCTCAGAAGATTTAGATGTCTGTATCACACCAGTTTCACTAGTGTTTTGGCAGGTAATATCATTTCCAGACCCACATACAAGCACCAGATCACATCTGAGAAAGAGAGAAAGTCTTTAGTTACTTGACCATTTTGACAGTATTCTTTTTAGGGTTGCTGAAATGTATAAGAATTGGCAAGTTAAAAAAATAAAGCAATCCTCTTCAAATGAACAAAACCAAACACAGCCATTCAGAAGAACCAGTAACAAAAGGAAAGAGAAATCTGTATTAGTGATGATTGTATTGGCAAGTCTTCTCTGTCCATAACACATACTTGTGGAAAATGGTAACTACAGCTGTAGCAATTCACACAATGTTGTCTGAATATTTTTATCTGAGACAAAGTTATGCTGTTATCTTCATGTATACAGGAAAAAACCAAGTTCTGGAGCAGATTAATTCAATAATATCTAGATTCCTAAATCCCTGATTTAGGTCCCAAGAGAAGCTTAGAAACTTTCAGTGGAAGGAGAAAGAGGAATTTCCTTATTTTAGCTGATCCACAGGAAAACCTCAAGTTCATTGAAATAGTCTATCAGTTTTAGGGTGCCTAGTGCTGGAAAGAAAAAAGGCAGCCCAAGCCTGCAGATAACCTGTTTGACTGACCTCACTCTGCAGCTCTTAAGTTTATTCACCACACATTCACAGCAATGCTAGTTCCAGCTCAGGAGAGCAGCTCAGGCACATAGCCAGGCATTTGCAGGGCAGGCCTCTTCAGCCCTTGTTTGGAGCAGCTTTAGGATCCAGGAACCACACCCTTGCTTCCTGTCAGAGCAGAATAAGCCTAGAAGTCACAAAACCTATCTATTGGTTACGCTGCGAGAAATGTGCATGTGTGCACCCAGTCCACTACTAATTAGTCTTTCTGGCAGCAAAGTCTCAATCACCTATCCCATAGACCATACTGTGGGACTGACAATCCTCCTGAGATACACACAAGGTCTGAGCAAAACACCATCAACCTTTCCCTCTTCTCACCCAAGATGCTGTCCTGTTCAGATAAAGACCACAACTACTGCTCATCTTGGACTGGGAAAGCAGTCTCAGTGAGGACTTTGGGATATTTGATCCTCCAAGACTAGCAGGATTCATGAGATTGGAACCTCATGCCACGTAAAAGCTCAGTGAGTCTTTCCTAGTCTGTGCCCAATCTAAGCTCAAACTTGCAATTCCTGGACAGTACCAAAAGTACAATTGCAACATTTCTGAGAGCAGAGCTCATAGTGCTGGGCTGAAGAAACATGAAGACTGCAGGGTCTTTCATATGGTAAGAAAACTGTACATGGGGAAGGCAATCTGAGTGACAGCTCCAGCTCTCTCAACCTTCCTCAGGCCAGGAAGACCTTCAGCTCCACCAAAAGTCCGTATCTCTTGCCAAAGATTAACCATCACTGTCAAAAAGACTTCCAGTATTTTTTTGACTTAAATATCTGAAAGGTAGTAGAATCTCAGCTAATTACTTATCATTACTATCACTATGATATCTGCATTATATCTTTAATAATACAAGAACATTGAAATAATTAGGAAGGCTACAGATAACTCGAAATCTGATATCCCTGAGCAGTTGCTTGTAAATATTTCCTCATATTATTCCACATTTATTTATCCTTTGAAATAATTAAGCACTTAAACACTATTGTTTGCTTACATACCAATGCACATTTCTGACATGAACAAACAGAAAGTGAAAAGTAACAAATTGCTTATCAGGAAGGTACATTTGTTTTGCATTTTGAAGAACATCTGCAAAAGTCTGAAGGGCAGAAATCAGATCCCTGAACGAGTTTACCATGGCTAATTCTTAGAAAAAAACCCCACCCACTCACATGTATTTAAGAGGACTAGGAGACTATTTTTGCTGTAAGCCTCAAAGATTTCATTTTCAGAGAACTCAGCAAAGGATTCTGCATTCTTAACAATTCTGAATAATCAGGTCCAATTGCCTGAAATGAGCGATTAGGAAAAAATTAACCCTAAATTTTACCCAAGTGCTTTACATGAATGCCTGATATTTGTCTCTCCTAATTTTTAATTTTAGATTCAGTCCACTGTTCACATTTCTAGGCATTAGCAGACAGTTGATTGTTATTTTTTCCTTATGTTCAAACTTTTAGGTCCTAGGCCAAGCCGTGGCCTCAGCTGTGCAAATGTAAACCAAGCAACTGTATTCACTTGAGTGAGTTTCCATTAGTGAAGGCACAAGTAAGACTTGGCTCTCACATCTGATGTGCCTTACCACTCTAATAATCTCACGTTGGGATCTCAGGAACAGAAATACTTAAGTGTTCATAACACTGTGCTAAATATGTGTCCAAGTCTGTTGCAGGTCAGGCTTTTACTGAAGCACCATTTAATAATTGTTTGGGGCTAAAAAAAAAAAAAGGGCTAGATTCATTGACTCAAGGTTCTAAATTTACCATTTGACTATATATTTTTCTTTAGATATGCTCTGACTCAGACACGCATTCATTGCAATTTGCATGCACAGGTTTCATACGTTCGGCCCTGTTTGCTTTCTGTGTAAAACAGAAGAGGTCACTGTATCTGAAACTGAACTTACAGCTAGGCTAATAAGTAACTTGAATGCAAACAAATCAAGCAATCTTGACCTAAAATCAGCATGAATCAGTTGATTTTCTTCACTGAATCCCTGCAAATGAGCTAAGTGGAAGAAGGAAAGCATCTACTCTGGGGAAGACAAAGAGGAGCTTTTAGTCATAAATGCAATCTCACACAAGAGCCACTCTGCCTGACCAGGTAACCCGACTTTTCCCTCCCCAAGGTCCACATGCTCCAGCAAACTCTGAGAGCCTTCTCCCAGCTCTTGGAAGGAAGGGAGAAGTTTACTATTGGGAGAAAGACTTTATAGCTCACCAGCTGTGTGAACAAACTCAGACATATTTGGCTTCTGTGAACTTGGCTAAATCAATGAAACATCAGAGCTCAAACTTGATGCTTTATTTCCTTTAGTCTGAGGTTCTGCTCACTATAAACGTGATCTGGAACAGCATGTGTGAGACTGTAAAGCAAAAAAGAAATGAAAACAAAATGTGATTGTACATGAGATCAATTCCATGCTGACGTGATAATACGTTCAAAATTCTCATTTCTGTAGAAAGCTGACCACAGGCACTTCATCAATCAGTATTTCGATTTGTAATGCATTCCGTATGGTTCTCTGTCATTACTTAATGGGGAACATCCCCTCTGAAAACATCTGACTCTGAGCTCTGCATCGAGAGAGCTGCTCGTGTTTCAACCACGTTTCCCAGAAACTGAACACTCAGCAACATATTCATTTTAGTGACAGCCACCACTAATGAGAAACAGCCATGGGCCTGTTGAATCTTTTACAAGCCAAAGAAATTTATATTAGCAACAAAAAAATATCTCACTACAACTGAATCTCTAGAATCTCCAAAATCTCGATTTTATCACCCTAAAGCTCGTACTGGGTTGGAACTTGTAGTTGTCTATTTTTTATTGCATAGTATCTCTCTCTCTAGTTTTTTGGGGGATTTTTTGGTTGGGTTTTTTTTTGGGTTTTTTTAGGTAGGTTCTTTTTTTTTAAATTTCCAATTAGGCCAGTTGTTTTGACATGTGTTCTGCATATCAGGAACAGGAAGGTGGGGCATGAATTGGAGGGTTTATCACAAGCTGAGGGGTGATGGAAAAAAATAAGTCCATCAGAAGCAAAAAGCTCATACAACACTCAGTGATGGCATTGGAATAGAAGGAGATAAAGAAACAAATTAGAAAATCTGCGGCATTTTGTTGGAGAGCTATATTATTTTCCTGCACCAGTTTTCTTTTCTCAGAACATCAGGGAATTACTAATCTCAAAATTTCTTGGGTTTCATTGTTTTGTTTTAGGTTTGGGATTTTTTTTGGGAGTTGGCTTTTTTGGGGTGGGGAGGCATTTGTTTGTTTTTTTAATAAAGAGGAGCAGCTGTGCAAAATTTTGACTTGCCAATACATGAAACTTCTTAAAAATTACTGGACCCACAAGACAACGCAAGTTGTGAGGAAACTAAAATTTCAAACAGCAACTGTTTCAGAAGACTGGAGGGAACAAGTGTCGTACCTTTATTTAGAAGAGTCTACTGGTTGTTCAAGGCATTACTTTGAAATAGTCATTAAAAGCAAAATAATAAATGACTGCATGTTCAGGATGCCACAGAGCCAAATTGGCAGAGTTTCTACAGAGAAAACTGTGTCTCAATAATCTTCTAAGAGTTAAATCTACCAAGATTTAAATCTACCAACAAGACATTGACAAAGGATAATTTATTTCCATAGTGAGCCTGACAGACATAAAGCAGGATACCAGGCAAGACACAACTATGGTAAAAGTAAGATTAGCAACACTGCCACATCATGGACCACATTGTCCCTTACTCCCAGGGTCTTCAGCAGGATTTATTCCAAGAGTAAATGCTTAGAAATAGAAGGGTAGTACAATTGCCTGAATTTATGTTATGATCTTCTTCAAGGCAGCATACAAAGAAATTCTAAAAAAAACTTAAAATAGTGTTATAATTAATAGCATTTTGACAGCTAATCAAGTCAAAGAGATTAAAAGTCAACTCAAATACTAAATTCAAAGCATGATTAAAACTTCGCATTTTTTGAAACATACTTGAAAGGAATGCATTATGTTTCATCACACTAAGAAAGTTTACATTTGCTCCTAAATTCACTGCTTTTAAAACAATTGTCCCTCCTGAACCTCACTTTAGCTTCAATGGCAATATTTCCACCTTCACTATAAAAACCAATTAAGTTCTTGGTTGTTCATAAATAAAGAAAGAAATTAAATCCCAACCTCACAAGTGATACCAAGGCCACCTTGCTCTTTTAGATTACTTACCAGATTCAAATGGAAGAGTCAAGAATTCCATCTGTCAGAGTAGCAACCACCAAAACAAAAAAACTCTTAGAAAAAACATGGTGTGAGCAGCTGAGTCTCTGAAACAGCATATTTATGCAAGAACTTTTATAAAGCATCAAAATGTCCCAAGCACTTTGAAATATAAGAGAGAACAGAACCCAAAAGTCTTGCTAGCTAAAGGAAAGCATTTGAAACAAAAGATAAGGAAAATACTAAAGCTAGAAATTAAAAGAAAGCAAGTCAGAGAAAGACATTAAACAGAGATCAAAGCACCTGGATGAGCATTTGCAGATTTACATAAAGGACATTTACTGACCTTCAAGACATGAGCGGTATCATTTTACAGAAGAAAAAATGGTAGACAATGAAAAACAAACAAAAAAATTTACAGGTTTGTTGATAGATTTATGGAAGCCAAGCCAAGGAGAAGAAAATACAATGTTGTAATGTATAAGCAAAGCCTGCAGGACCCCAAGCACAGGGATCAACACAGTCTCAGAAAAAAGAGAGCAAGTTCTCAGGGCACATGTTAAGTATCAGGCTAATTCAGATAACCAACTTGCAGGTGCAAAAAATTAAGTTGAAATTATATTCTCTCAAAACAAGCAGCTGATTAGAAGCACACCTGAAGTTGACTTTTGGTGTGTACCTCACCACCTTGCTGATCACTTAGATTATTCTCTTGACCTTTCAGTTACCTTCATTCAGAAAGTTCATGTGTGTGTTGAACTGGGTCTCTTTTCTTTCATTTCATCTCTTAGCTGTTACAGAATGACTTTTCCACCTGGTAAAGAGCTTGTAGGCTTTATGCATCCCTTGTTCTTGTGGAGTGTTTCAGTGTGCTTCCCAAAGATGTTCTCAGAGGCAAACTTCAACAACTGCTGAGTGTTCAGGAGTATTTTCTTCTAAGAACTCACATTTCACCTCTGAAAAACAAATTATGCCAGATTTGATGCTGGCTAAATTTTGAAATGAAACTTTTAGAGATGGTCCATTTTTTTTTCAATAGGTTAAAGCTGTCACGGATGTACTTGACACATTTCAGCTGTTTGGAACCCAAAACTACAGCAGTGGTAGTTAACGGTCTGGTGCAAAAAGAATTATCCCAGTTCTCCTGCAGTGATAAGGGAGCAAGGTAGAAGTGTTGGGCCGTGCATATGCATAGTACTTGTTTGTCAGAGAGAACTTATTCAATGTTTAGTATGCAAAAAAGTAAAACTGAGATGAACCACAAATTATTTTAGTCACAATACTATACATTTAGCTATTTTTCTCAGATATAATCGTGTTCCCATTTCTTTTGAGAAAATTCGAAAGGTTACATATATGTATGTTAGTATTTCTCAATAACAGCAGCAGTAAATGGTAATCCCTTGGTACCAGAAAACGTGCAAAACATGTTATTTTGGGTTTCTTTGGATTATTGCATTCATATTAAATGTCATAATACTGCCATTCTCATAGGAAGTGAACAAATTGAGAGACCCAAACTCTGGCTAGTTGCTTGTGGGCACAATTTCAGAAAACTGAACTTTGGATACTCTACCTATCCAAAAGTGTCTTCCTGATTTTGGATAGAAGGTATAGTTCAGGACTTTATTTTATGCAGGGAAAGATAAAAACCTGATGTTGGAGTATGTAGGCAAGCTGATCCACCCAATATGAATGGAAACAGCATCAGGCTTGAATTTGGGAAAATGGATTTCTGTTGTTTTTTCCTTAAAGGGGTTCAAGGCTTCTTACCACAGGCAGATAAGAAGAGCTTGCAAGGACCTATTTTCAACTTAATGCTGAACTGAATGGAAGCTCACCTTGCTGCTTCTGCACATAATCCTGTTCCATAAAAACACCTGGGACCTCACTGACAAACAAGGGATAAATGAGTAGAAAGAAGTCTTTACAATGCCTTCAGCAAGTAGTTCCCTGCTCTGTTTCAGTAGTTGATACCTCTCACTCGAGCCTGGCGAGGGGAGGAGACACGGTGTGTGCATATCACATTTCATTTTCCAGGTACCTGGTTGGCATCAGCCTTGGGCTTCTGCTGCTACCACAGGCTTCCTATTGCTGATAATTAATTATTTATAACTAACAAGTGCTGTCCCTGTGTTCCCATTACTTATTAGGATTATTTTTGTGGCTACCCTGTTGCAGAAGACTAAATCCCAGGTTCCAAGTTGGTTTTTATTCACATAGAATTATTCTTAGTAGGTAAAACCTGATATGGCTTGATTATTTGGTCAACATTACTCTTCCATTTCCAGAGCTATGTGGCTACACCATTCAATCCACCACCAGTTATAAACTTATCTAGTTATTTAACCAAGGACACATGGGCTGCCACTGTCTTCCTTCAGTCTGAGGGTAGAGAAAGTAATTTCTAATCATATTATTGTTTTGGTTTGGTTTTTTTTTTTTTTTTCATTCAAGAGTGATAGAGAAGGTGACTCACATTCTGTTTGGAGTTCAGCAGCTGCCTCCTACTGTCCCCCTGAATCATCAGTTTGGTTGCAGCATTTTTGCCTTGGTCTTTATAGTTTGCAGAAAGAGCCTGATTAACCAGCCTTTGGTTTCATAGCCTTATAAAACATTCTTCCACAATTGGGCTAGCCAGCTTTTCTTAAGAAGGGATGCGGTGAAATCTGAGAATTGGATTGTGAGGGGAATTTGCAGTGTCAAAAGGAATTTAATTACAATTATTCCTTTCACACCTTTTGGCACTGATTTAAGTACTTACTTTGATATCAGATTAGTATAGGAAAGAAGAACGGTCATTTTTAAAGGGACCTTTCTGCAGCCATAGGTGAATATTTTAAATAACTGCCATGGATGACATGTCAGCCTCATCGATATTCTGAACTTTCACTTAGTGTAGAATATCTTCTTAGTAAAGATCAGTATATATCTGTTGTGTTCAAGGTTAATAAAAATGTGGCATAAAAAGTAGATGTATAAACAGTGAAAACTTGAAAACTGAAATAGATATTTGAAAAGGGAATTGAAAACTATCAAAAAATTGATAAAAAATTTCAGGTATGGCCTCCTGTCACAGCCTTATTTTCCATGGAATCACCAACAAGGAAACCCTCTAAATTGTTGCTGATGACACAGATGAATCAGAACATCAGAAGTGCAGGTTCAGATCCCACATGTGAAATTACAGAATGTTATTTTGATCCTCTTTTCTTTAAATGTATTGACAAGAACCTCCTGAACACTTCTGGGTCCTATCACAAGCTAAACTTTGTGCATGTAGCTTTGAGTGCATAAAGCAGTTTAGGGACTTAGTAAAGACATCCTGATTTTCATTATATTAGATGTTCACTGTGGGCATCTGAGATTTATGCCCCATTATTAAGCCTGACCTTTAGCATGCCCTGATGTTCAGCATCCTTCAGTAACTTTCAGAGGGAATTTATGCCATGCTGCTTGCCATGTGTGACTAACATAGCAATGTGTTGATTTTCAGTTCTTGTTATGTGCCCTCTCCTTAAAAAGTGCTCTACAACAACAGCTATTAGTGACAAAAATAATAATCACCACCCTAATTTATGTTAATAGTTACATGGAATTGCAAGACATAAGTTAACATTGGCTATGCCCATAAAAATTGTAATTGTCTCCCCAAAATACAAATTAATTTTATGTCAAAGGAAGACTAAGCAACAGTAACAAATGCCATATTTATTAGGAGTAGCCCACTTAAATGGAATACTTGAAGCTTCATAAATCTTATATTGCTTATGCAATATGCAAACACTAATTTCATATCAAATATGTGACTTGACATTAACAACCTTTTCAGTGTGTCAAAGTAGGTGTCACTGTTAAAAAGCAATTATTGAATATATTCCTCAAAAGATGAGAAACAGAAAACCTTAACTTGGTAAAATACTTATAAATGTCTTCTTGGCTACCACTGTTTTACTGATTTGACACTAATTCCAAAATACATAAAAACTTATGCCATGGTATAGAAACATAATATATCAGAATTATACAAGTATAGTAATAGCTATTTCTTATTTAATATTGTCCTTCTATAGGTAGTAAAAGCAGAAAAGTGTACAGATCTCTATTCCTGCTTAAGTTCAGCATAAGATAGCCAAATTTTCAGCATAAGATAACCAAATTTTGATGAAAAGCACTCTTGTGCTTGACCAACATGGCTTATATAGGCAGCACAGTACTTCTGACATTTTTTAATCATACTGTGCTCTGTTTTCAAAATATTTAGATATTTTTAAAATGTGGTGCCAGGTACTTTAGTTAGAGTGATGTCACCTAATAAGCTGTATTGGAATTCAAAACATCACTTTTTCATATATCTTCAATCATTCACTGAGTAAAATGCACATATGAATCTTTTGTTAAGGTAAATAAAGGGAATAATTTATTCAGGATTCACAATCCCTTCCATTAATAACTGTAAGTATATTTCTCTGAATTTGTGTTGGGGAAGTTAATGCCCCAAAATCAGCATTTTCCACAGCAGCCCCACGGATGGTGCTCAGCCAAAGGCACAGCTGTTTGAGCAGCTCTTTGTGTGGGTTACCAGGGAATGACCACAGAAAGCCTGTTTGTGTGCTTCTCTGGGGGAAGGGATTCTGCACATGCACTCAAATGTATTTTCTACTCATGTTGTACAATCTCCTTCCAAGTTTTGAATCTCCTGGCACATTTTTATGCATCCTGATGATCTCATCATCATCATATAAAACATGACTTGAAGAAAGAGAAAACAGGTGGGGGCTCAATTTTAGTGATTCCCATTCTGCCCTCACTGCTCCTTCCCACCAGGCTGCCCTCCTTTTCCTCCTCCCTCCCCACTTCAGTTACCCAACAAAAGCCACCAAGAGAAAAACTAACCAAGAAAATGTTTCATAAGAAAAAAATCCCATGGCACGGCACCCTCTCCCTGACACACACACACAGACACACACACACACAAAAGGCAGCTTTAGTAATAACCACAACCATCCAGTAAATCCAAAAAAGTCAACATAATGAACATACAAAAGTGTGAATTGCTAAACTGTGATATTCAGTTAGTTCTTGGCAGAACTGTTTTAAAATAAGTAGGGTTGACATTTGATTAGAAATAGACACTTTTTCTTTCTCTTTCTTTTTCTTTCTCTCCCTTCCCCCCACTCCCCTTCTTTCTTTCTTTTATTTTTTTTTTTACTAGAAATGAATTATATTTGAAGCTCACTGGAGCATAGATAAATGCAATCTAACATATTTTTAACTTGATTGCATTCTGCAGTGATATATAGAGGCACATAGCTACAGTAAGTGATTCCATGGAGCGAGAGGAGGAGGAAAAGAGGGAGGGAGGGAGGGAGGGGAAAGCCCTCTGCGAATATGATAAGGAAAGCTGGGATGAATTGTGGTCTCTGTTCTCTGTTATCCAAGGGTGGCTAGCTGCTGCTGCACTAAAGGCCTTTATTCCCTGCCTGTGGGAAAGTGGTGGGCGAAGGCTTCATTCTCAGTTACACTGCACATGCAGATTTTAATTAGCTGGATTAAAAACAAGACCGTATCATGTCCTTTAGCAGTATTCTATCTAGAAACAAAAGATTTTCTTTCCTGGCTTCTGCAAGCAGCACAGTACAGCATTAATAAAAAAAAAGGTCATGGCAGTTCAAGATGAAAGGTCACACATGATAGAAACTCTATGTGAGGGGGACATCATGTTTACCTCTGTGATAAAGGAGCTCTGTCCAAGCAGGTCAGTATGCCATGCCTCATCAACAGGAAAATATAAACATATGGAGTGGATAGATGGTGGAATGGGGAGTTTGGAAAAGTGAGTTCAGTTGTGGAAGTAGAGAAGGGGCGGGGAAGAGGAGAGGGAATTGTTTGAGAGAGAATATAAGCTGAAAGGATCCAGCTTTAAAACAGCCAAAAAGGGTCAAAAAGAGCCTGAGATGAAACCTGGGGTGATGGCTGCAGAGCACAGCTCAGAGCCTGTGCAGGGTGAATGAGCACTGAGCCAGCAGGCACGGACTACCAGCCCCAGCCACTGGGCTACATCCTTGCACACCAAAGCCCACTTAAGCATGGCCAGAGCCTGTACCCTTCTTCCACAAAGAGACCATGGACTCATCCCTGGGTAGGGCTTCAAGCCCCTAATTCCAAAGCCTCCCTAGACTGAGTGCTTGGGCTGAGACTGGGGTTTTTATGTTTTATTTGGACCACCACAACTATTGTGTTGGGGGTTTGTATCTTATGTTTTTGTTGTTTTCTTTTCTTTTTCTTCAGTGGGGAGCCAGGCTTTCCCCCAGTGAAGGCCAAAGGAATCTGCATGTACTTCCAAAGGAGAGTTAGCAGCTCTCTAACCCACAGTCTCCAAGGCTTTGCCCTGGAATACACTGAGCTCTTTCAACACCACTGTTATCAGTAGGAGGGAGATGCAAGACCTCCTCAGTTTCTCACAAGATCAGACTGCAAAAATAAACACATTATGGCCTTACAAACCTTAACTGAGGCACTGGTCTCAGTAGGTCTGAGTAGAGCCACTGCCATATGCAAGCGTCCATGGGAGAGTGCTTGAAGACTGAGGGGCAAGACAGAAAAGGGAAGGAAAAGGGAAGCAAAATTAGATAAGGTTAAATGTTCCTCCTCTGCTTTACCATACTTCCTGCTTTTCAAAATCCAGCTGAGAGAAAAACATACCCATTTCTCAGTATATCATTCTGGGCAACAACTTGATTCTTTGCCTCATAACATTTTCATTAAATAAGATTTGCACAGCCTGGGCCAGGTATGAATATACATGTGTAGGGCTCTATAACCTCCTTTATGAGACTGATCCATGAATAGGTGAATTATAAAACAGACTTTTTACCCAAAAAGGAACACTGGGTAAAAGCAATCAAATTCTAATAGTTCAGCAAGGTGCTGTACATTAAATGACCACATTAATTAAGAGCACACTCATCCTGTAGCAAACCTGAGGCAAAACATGCATTGCTCCATATGTTGTTGAAATCAGTACCTGTCAGCTTCAGAAATTCAAATATATGCCTGAGGTCTAAGAAAAGTTAGGGCTAGTGCTGAAAGTTAAATAAGGGCTCGTTTCTGGATAAAACAATACCATTTTTTTCATTCTGAGCAGCAATTCAGTATAGTAGTTACTTACCAAACTGATAACACAATGATTAAATTGTCCCAGTTCTGCTGCTGCTGCTGAGATCATTGGAAAATCATGGTTTAATTCAATACACGTAGGTAATTTTCTGTAATCTCAGTAATACAGCATAGCCTAATACAATAATTTTGTACGATGAGCTTTTTAAAACTACTCAGCCTTCACTGCCATTTTTCTTCAGAATAGAGAAAAAGATTCAGGAATGAATTGCCTGATTCTGATTTATATTGATGGAGGCAGAAGTATAACACCGAACTGTTCCATGGGATAATCGGGGTACTATTGCACAGAGCTAGCTCTAGAAACACAGAGCATGAGCTCTCCACTACCTCCCACTGTATGAAGGACATATCAGGCTTATCCAAACCCAGCCCCAGAGCTCTGACTCTGGAAAGATCCTGATATAACAACGTACTCGATGTCCTTTTTGCAGGGTTTAAAATAAATTGCCTTCCCAGACACATGAAATAAATTGCCACAGAAATCAAGGGGAGTTTTATGTTCACATCAGTTCAGCATGCTTAGGTGACCTCAAGCAAATGATATGTTTGTATCTTACCACCTCATTGCTTTTTAGTCCTATATCCAAACAGGGCACTGGTCACACAAGCTCTTAGCAACTTGCTCAAAGCCATAGGAGACCCTTCATCAGGGAGAAGAGCTGAAGCTGCCTTTTCCAGAAGCTCAGCTTGTATGAAAAATCTCTTAGGAGTTCAAAACCAACAAGTTTTGTGCAGGTAGCAACCCAATTTTATTACTCAATGAGATTTCAAATATTTTCAGTGCTCATTTGGTAAAAAATAAAATGAGAAAAATAATCCAAATGTGAAGGAGGTGAACAACATCATGATTATACTTCTCAGCAGCTTCTGGTTGCTGAGGCCAGAAGGGGTTTCCTGTTGACTCCTGGCAGAATTACTGAGGTTTCCCTCTGATATTAAACTAAAAAAGACCAGCAAGGCATGGGCCTGAAACCATACATCCCACTAAACTGGTCCCTGGCATGGTTTTGGTGCAAGACTGCTAATGCTCTTCCAGACACTGCCAAAGCACATCTTGGGTATTGACCCAGGTCAGGCACCAACAGATATTTTGGATGTGGCCACCATGATTTGGAGAGCAAGGGAGTTTAGCTGTGTGGATTCAAGCTATTTCACGCCAGCTGGCCTCCAGGAAAATTCTCTGACTAATTTTGTTTAATAGTTTAGATGTAGTCAATGTGTCCAGGTCTTCCTTTCCTTCCAGTCTTGCAGAAGCCAGCAGTCAGTGCTCCCAAGCATTGGCAGTGTGACGTGGCATTCAGCAGGGTGACAGAAGTGACATGAGTTGACCATGCAGCTCTCTGAAATGCAACAGAGTTCATTATATTTTAAAGAAAAGCACTATAATTGAGGGAGTGGATTGAAACAGATGCACTAGAAGTGTTGAAGAAACCAAACCAGAAAATAATATGAACAATTGAAAAATGAATAGGTGAATTTGTTTCAAATAATTTGGGTCTAGTTCTCCCGTACTATAAAGCTGTCTGCACAATAAATAAACAAACAAACAAATGAATAAATAAATAAACTGTATTTTTAATAAATACAAACTGTGATATTATGTAAATTCCAGGTACACTGTTAACAGCAATAAAAATAGAAAGCATTACTTTAAGTATAACTCAACCTAGTAGATTCTAGAGGGAAGAAAACATTTTTCAACAAAGACCTCCTAGTTTAAAGCAATAATCATCAACATGAGGCTTATATATAGTATGTGGCAGCTGTAACAACATTCATATCTCAGCGTGCCTGGTCTTAGGCAGAGCAAGGGAAGTGCTGAAAACAGTAGCATTCTTCATGGATCTGCTCCAGCTCCCACAGAAGTCAGAGAGAATCTACACTCCATGCTTGCTTTCACACTTGGGCAGAACAGCTAATGTTGAGCAAACAGACCACAGCTATGTGGCTCTCCCAGCAAGCCAGGCACATAAGAAAAAAATATCTGCTCCCTCCCTAAAGTCAGGATTTGGGTGAGGGGGAGGAAGAGAAACACAGAAGTGGCACTACAGGTACCTGGTTCTTTCGGCAGTCTGTCTTGCACTGACCCTGACAACTGTAAAAGCTTAGAAGCCCCACAAGACCCCTTGGGTAAATAACCATTGTAGAGGTTGTTTTTGGGACAGAAAAGGGAGTATGGTTTTATTTATTATTATCATTAATATGGTGTTGCAAAACATTGTCCCTGCTAGAAATGATCATAACAAAATATCAAATCATCAAAACGAGCATGAGTCGGGCTCAGCTGGCTTACATGTTCTGGAAAGGTCATTAGTTTAAAGTTTCTGCTGCTGGGAACTGAGAAACAATGCCATCTCTCAGGAAACAAATCCTTCTTTTTAATTCTGCCCTGCCCTCCTGATGTTCCTACCACACTTCAGATTGTGTTAAGGGGAAAGAAAAGAGAGCAGATCTCTTCTCCAGAGAAAATGGCCATTGCACTGGATAAGAAGACAAGGGCTGGCTCACAAGGAAGATCATTCTACAGCTTCCCAGTGACAGACTAAGGACTCTGAAAAGTGAACACTGGCAATATAAGCAGTACACCAGAGAGACATCAAAAGCACATGTGCTCTTCCATACCCTCCTAAAATAAGCCTACAGGAGCTTAAGAGCCTAAAGGAGAACTCCAGCAGGGAAGGTTGTATCTACCTAGCAGAGAAGCAGACTGAAAGTTTATTGTGTTCAGCTTGCTCAGCTTTCCCACAGTATTTTGTCTCAACATGAGTCAAGCTAAGAGCACAGATTCTCATTGCTTGATCAGATGCATTCACTCAGATGTTTTTTCCTGCCTACTCTACACTAGGAAGTCAATATGAGGTAAGAAAAGCAGCACAGGAGACCTCCTATGGTGGTGCACATTAAATTGAAGAAATGGTAGTCCATTGTGTGCAAACTTATAATCACATGTAGGAGAGATGACAGGAGGTTAACTATTTTCCAAGTCACGCCTAAAATTACTAATTCTATATTTTTAGTTCCTGGGCTTCTGTTTTCAAATTTAACAGCATTTTTTAGATTTCCGTTTGATGGTAGGTATTCCAACAAAAATTATGCACAAATATGGACTTAGTAAACCTCTGACCTATATTTTTGATCTGAAACCCCAGGATTACCTCAGTAAGTGACAAATCACTGGAGGAAAAAAAAACCCCAAATAACATCACAATCAATATTAAATTATAAAATAATGCCACAAATAAGAAACCAAAAGAATTTTGCAAAATATGTTCTCTATGCGTGTAGATTTAAAAAATTATCTTTTTTATGGCCTCAGAACTGATACTACTGTGGCAAGCACAATGCAAAGACACTTTGCTCACAGAGACCTGACACCAGCACTGCTACTGTGTAGCACAGCTTTAAACCTGCACTGAAGCAATGCTGTAAATCAGGACTCATTCCACCAAAGTCAATGGAGCTAAATGACCGTAAAACTGGTGTGAGAGAGAAATCAGGTTGTTAACCTCTGAGGAGAGCTTGCACTTGTCTCACAACCTGTGTTTGATCAGGCTGTATTTTATTCATTCAAAGCATAAAATGAGAGCCTCAAACTAGGAAATAAATATTTGATTGTAGCTGAGCTATGCTTGATATAATTTCATGATACTAGACTTTTAGTAACTTCTAACTTTCAGTAACTTCTCTGCCCATATCCAATAATATTGCCTGAATTTGAATGGAGGTGTCTGATTCTAACCTCAAACAGCAACTTGCACCATATTCTGACCACAGTCTAATTATATGAAAACCCAAAAGTAACTACAAGCTTCCTTCTTTGACCTGGAAGAGAAACCTGACAAGGTTTCTCCAGAAACAAGAAAAATTACTTACCTCTCAAACAGTGGTAGTAGATTGATTCTGGTTCTTTTTCTTGGAAAAAACTTTTCATTTTATGTTACACTACTACTGAAAACAGGAAACTGAGGCAAAGAACCAGATCCTCAGAACATCTTCCATCCCCCCTACTTTTTGAATACAGGCTTTACTTTCTATTTTATTACTCAGAAGATAATTTTTTGTTAAATTTTCAATGGGCTGAGGCACGTAATATTGACTGTTGGCTGCTGGGAGGGATTTCTCCTTCAGGAGCTGCGAGGCACATTCATTCCACTGTAAGTTCAAAACACAGGTATGAAATTTAGGTTGTCTCAACTACCCTGCAGAGAACATAAAATCCTCTGAATTCAGGTAATACGGCCCTATGAATCCCTGGGCCATGAGGATAAGTCCTCCTTAAAATAGACCTTTAAACTCCAGGAGAATGTCATGCCAATGCTCACTAGAAGTCAGACAGCACACAGCGCTTCAAGAGTCCTTTTGAGGGGAAGAATAACAATGTTGAGGATATTCAGAGTGAATACTGAGCACACCCCTGACCCCTCACCTCCAAGAAGGCATAGCAGAAGGAGAAGAGCTAAAGCAGGGTGCAACAAGGATTATCTGACATGTAGAAAAGCTTTTCTACATGGAGAGTTTAGGAGAGGATGGACCATCCATGGAGAGGATTCCTTGGCTTGGAAAAAAAAGATGACTGATGAGTAGTTGACATAAAATTATTAAAAATCAAGAAAATATACAGGAAAAAATTATTCAGCACCATTATTGTTTAGACCATAAAAGTTAGGAAGACTTACTAGGAGGACTAGTACTTGCTAGACTAGGAAGACCAAAGGACACGCTGTTTTGTTTTATACAGACACTCAGTGCTGTAGAGGCCAAAACTGTAAAAAACCCAAACAAAATACAGTCAGATATGCTCTAAAAACAAGGACCCATAAAGGGATACTGACCATGGTGTTATGGATTCCTTCATTCTTCCTTTCTTTGAATGTATTTTGATGATGGGATCATTTTCCTCTGCAGAGATTCCAAAGTTCATATCATTGGATTATTTCTGTTTGCATATACTTAGTATTCACCACTGTCCAAGTTATATATAAAAATAGCAGATTCGCATACATATTCAATGGAAAAATTATTATTAAGAAACTAAATTATTATTAAGAAACTGGCACATCCAGATCTGGATTTCTTAAATGTTCAGAGGTGTCTGGAACATATTTAATGATTTGTGTTATTAGCTATATGTTGTGTAGTAATTTAATACATATCAGGGAGTATGTGCAAAAATTGTTCAGCACGGAGCTCCTGATTTCTGATTTCCAGCTACATTGTAATTATAAGGCATTTATTAATGCACTTTGGTTTTGGACCTTCTGTCATAGTGGAAAATCATGATAAAAGAGCCATCAGAACTTTGAAGAAAATATCAAGGAAAATAAACTTGGGTTCTTTCTCTTTTTTTTTTTTTTTTTTTTTTTTTTTCTTTTTTTTTTTTTTTTTGTTCTTTTCTTCAATCAGAAATCCTAAAGAGCAAAGCTAAGCCCAGAGTTTTTGCACCTCCAGCCCATAAGCCTCTGTCACTGTACAGAAAGATGTTGGAGTGGAAAGGGAATAAGCTCTGGCTTGGGTCAAGCAGGTGCATTTCAAAGGTTTCACTGAGCTTGCACTATGGCTGCCAGGCTACCCTTGCACTAAATACACTTTCCACTCTGTTTCAGGTTCTGTTTTCTCCAGATGTTAAGGAGCTTTCTGTTTTATTACAGGGTATATTTGGGTTTGGCAGATACAAAAAAAAAAAAAAAAAAAAAAAAAAAAGTGCATTTCATTTTCTCTGGGAAATGTAAACAGCATCCACCCAGCCAGCACTACCAGTTAGTGTAACAGCAGAGAAAGCTCTGGTTGAAATCTGGATTTTGCCTCCTGAGTGGCACATACAGATAAAAAAAGTGAAATAATTACTTTGAAAAGGCTCATCCATTTATCTTGCTGGGACAAAGACCTCCTTTACATTATTTTATGGGTTCTTAAGCATCTCGTTTCCCCTTTTTGATTAGGTAAAAAAAAAAAAAAAAAAAAAGAAGCTGCAAACTCTAAAAGCATTCAGAGAGGGAGCAGTAGCTTTAGCCTTCTGTTTGTGCAATTCCAATAGGTGTATTTAAATGTAAATGCTACCCTTTCACCCTTGAGCCACCTATTCTTACAGCCAGCAGAAAGAGAGCATTCATGGTATAATGTCTTTATGAGGACAGATCTTACACTTAATTTCTCATGTGAATCCAACTCTTTTATAACACATTTTTGTGAGATTAAAAGAACAATATTAGTCTAGTGGCTCAGCAGCCAGATCACTGCTCTGTCACATGGGAGACGTGGGTTCAAAGGGACGGCAGGCAACTGTGCTGGGAAGTGCTTGATGGAAACTGCAGCCACGGAAAGATTCAGTCCTCCACTCTCA